AGAAGTTCGACATTCTGTACATTACAACAGTGGATTTGTGTTCCTGCTGCGCTGTGTTGCGCTTGGCTACCCATCACGGAGTCCCACAGCAGCCTCCTACACCAACCCTGTTTTTTTGTGCACGATCCGGGCTCAAGCCTGCTTAGCCTCTGAGCTCCGACGCGATCGGGAATATTTCCTCTGACCTTTCTCACAGGTACAATCAGCAGATGACGTGATTGAAAAGAGACTAGTTTTTTGTTTTTTACGTAAAATGGCAAACGGCTACCTAAAACAACTTTTTCTTGCCATCTTTAAACTCGGAGTGGCATTTTCTGGTGACGGTAAAAGGACGCAATGAATCGTAATACATGCTGCGTGCACTTTGACAGCTACAGCAGCCGCCAGGGCTTTTCACAAGGCAAGTGGAATCACATCCGCGCTAAAATAAATGCAGGCAAAAAGTTCCGCATTGACATCAGCCTAGCAGATGTGAGATGACCGCATGGCTCAATGGATTCATACTCAAGTTAACAAACTGAGCCAGAAAGCCCAGCCGCTGCTGCATCTTGTGAGCGGAAATAGTGTTAATGCCAAGCGAGTTTGAGATCTCCCAAGCCATGTGTTTTCAAGAAAATGTTACATTATGTTGGCTGGCCACTTACGATCGTAGAATATAAAGCTCACTATGCGGTGGTGATTTTCGTAAGCCCCCCCACCCCCCCTCCGGCACACACACACGTTGATGTATGGTGCTTTATACTAAATATACTGGCGGTGACAGATACGGTGGTTAGAGGCACTCGACTCATGATCAGGAAAAATAATCAAAAATATTGTGATAATGCATTGGCAGTGGTGCACAAGCACACGTTATAAAAACTCAAAATATTCAGGCCATTTCCAACATATATACATGTATGTTGAACTTCTTTCGCACCGTATGTAGCCAACCGTGCTAATCGGAGGTGTGCGAGTGAAGGACAACAAACCCAACACGAAAGAAGTTCTAAAGGTAATGAGTTTTCAGTCTAGATTTAAAAGTGCATATCGGAAGGAAGAGCGTTCCAGACATACGCACCATTGAAAGGTTACGCGTCCAAATCCCCATCAGTGGTCGGCTCAGCCCATCGTGAAATAAATTAGATTAAACAGGTTACAATGAATAATTTTCACTTTGCGGGAAATCGGTGGTTTTCCTGTGGGATAGCCTGGTCTTTACCATGGTATTGTGGGAATTTTCTCCACCTGTTAAGGACGGCTATTGGAGATGAGCCCCACTCCATTTGCTTAGCTCATCGGCGACACACGTTGAATTCGAAACACCGCGCTAATAAAAAATTAATCCGTGAAAACAAAGTTTGTCACTATAAATCCTTTATATGCGTGGCATCGGTTTTATTTTATTATTCATTTCTGTTTTTCTTGAGTAAAAGTTTCATTTTTATCACATTGGTATTTTAAATAAAATATGAAAAAAAAAATGTCCTAAAAAGTGGAAAATTTAGGAAAAAAAATTTCACGAAAATAAATTGTCACGCACAACGAGTCTGTGTGCAAAATGTCAGCTCGATTGGAACACGGGAAGTGGGTTAAAAAACGACCGAAAGATTTGCATGGTCGTAAGCGCGCAAGCAAGCAAGTGAACTTAATATAAAGGATTTAAAAATGCAAGCTATCGCGACTCCATCTGGAATCGTAGTGAAAAGTCTATATCCTCACGATTTAACCTAGTCTGTATTAATACAGCCACTTGACTTTTAAACACTGTGCTTAGTAGCCTCAACTTGACAGCCCTGAAACGTTACCTGGCCACGTACACTATTGGGAACTTCCGTCTGAGCTTGCTTTGGGGCTCCGATGTAGACTCAGCCTAAAATGAATCAAATCATTGGGTAGATGGAGGAGGCTAGGTGCGAGTGTGTCTGGTCACAACACTTCAAGTGTGTGTATATGTGGCGATGCCCATAAGAGGTGCTCGCAAATAACATTTGTCTCAACAGTGTATAAGGCTAAACGGTGTACTGTATCGCCGTCACCCCTGTTTCTCGGAATTGTTAGACGATTGTGGGATTCATGCATACATACCCCAACGTCCAAAAATAATCATTTAGGGTACACTGCTGATCAACTGCTGAACGAAGGCCTCAAAAAACGCCGTACCAGTCTTGAGGGTTGTTTGACCATTGTTCACCGTGCTGCCTAGCGGCGGTTTGAAGTGTCTGGGCAGAGCCGGTTCATATTTAATCCACGAAATGATGTCAGCTGGAGTCGGGAATCAAACTCACGTCACCGGTTTCATAGCGCAGTGTGCAAACCACTGGAGCACCACCAATCATCATCTGCAATAACACTGTAGGAATAACAGAAACCGAAATAGAACACGTGCACACACAAAGGAAATAATTTTCATTGAACAAGAAAAAATGAAATTGAGAAAATTGTTTTTCTCTGCGTTTTTTTTTTCTTTCATAAAGCAATGTTATTGCTCCATATCGTCGCTGAGTCAGTAAACCGATTCCTGTTATACTCTGCTCTCCACCACTGCGCTTCGCGTCATATTATGAGCAATGCAAATGCGTACGAGTACTGCATGTGCCACGGGTTGACAACCCGCGGCTGGCCAGTTGGGGTCCATGCGGCTTCTGGCCAGTCGAATTGCACCTCCACAGAGATGCAGCTAATTATATCGTTTTACACTTTTCAGCAAAAAAAGTAAATCTGCGGAAGCGAGGAGCGCCTCGGGGCACTCGCTTCTGACAGCACAGCCGAACACGAGGACTATCCCCCGAGTGGGATGGAGGGGGAGGGGGTTTAAACCTGCAGATTTCTAAACTCAAAACTCCACAGCCAGCCATCGCAAGCGAGACGGCTTACGTGACCTCTCCAGGTGACTGCCCCAAGTGACCCTCTCTGTGTCTTGTGACGCTCGGCCAGACCAAGGTTAGGGTTTGTGGCTCATGAGGTCAAGGATGTTTGGCCAACGCCTGGTTATATGCTGCAGTGTTTGGCCAACATCACCATCGCAGCGACGAAAGGTCGCAGCGGCAGGAGCTTGCACCAAGATCATTTGGTTGAGACACCTGACCTGCGTTGTAGCTGTGGGGTTGCTGTAGGTGACAGTACAACAAATAGGTTTATGAGTGTTATCTGCTTTTATGTGTGGGTTTACAGAAGGTTGCTTGCCACGTGCAAAAATGCTTGATAAGGAAACTAACAAATATCCCAAGCATGGCTGAGTCTTTTCTAGCTAAACTAAGGGGGTTATCCGAGTGAGACATTACAGTATTTGTAATTCTAAATTAGTTTTCAAGATAGAAAACGAATTTCTTTCCAATTGCTTTTTGTGTTTAGTTTCGTGTCCTTTGCCCGCAACCTCCGATTCGCACGGTTGGCTACGTGCGTTGCGAAAGAAGTTCAACGTACACGCAGAATGACGATGATCATCGGCAGCCGTAGTCTACCCACTGCTGGAGGAAGGCCTTCCCAAGTGACGTCATTGTTCGACAGTCCTCTCGTTGGTGTTCCCCTACTTGGGCTACCATTCCACCACCAGTCTCCACACCACCGGCCATGGGCCTTTCTAGCCCTACGTGTCCTGCCCAAGCTTTCCTTTACTGTCGTCAATGTGATTCCTCTCATTAATGTGTCTGTTAGAAAATGCATGTGTTCTAAACTATACTGAGCTATTTTTTATTTAACCAGGTAAGGCCCACTGAGCTATATAGCTCTGTTTCCAGAAGTGACCTGAACACAAATGGTAGTTCAACGAATTGGCTTATCGTGTGGAAATGCATAACAGCCAATTACTCCAAACATGTGGGTCTTAATGTGGAGGGGAAAATGGGAGGACCCGGAGAAAAATCCACGCGACCACGGGGAGACATGCAAACTCCAAATATACAGCAGGCTTCAGGGTCATGATGGAACCCACGACCTCCTGTATACCAGGCGAGGTAGTTAACATCTCACCACCGCGTGTTTTCCTGTGTCTCGGCGTAATTCACAACATGTCCCTCTCCCCGATTAATTATAATTTTTTGCACTTTTCAGATGTGTCAGTTCCCATGTTCCGGATCCATGTCAAAGCAGGTAGAATGCCCGAATTTGAACGACTTCTCAGGAGGTTCAGCACCCTGTTGCTTTCTCATTATCAAGTTCAGTTACTTCAAAGGTCTCCAACCTCCCCTTGCTGATAACACACTCATTATAAGAGTATATTCTGATGAGAGATTGTCGACTTCATAGTTATATGAGCACGTTTCCTGTATCAAATGTCGTGCGTGCATTACACATTAACTTGCATATCCGTCTCGACACAGCAGTTGATTAACTAGATTATTAATCATTAATAAAATCCATAAGCAACAAGGTAGCAAATACAACAAAACATTCAACACATTTGTATGTATGATATTGTATATAATAGTTGGCGACGTTTCAGGCAATGGCCTTCTTCAGAGCACAGAGACCCAGATGTCGTTGTTTTTGTTATCTGGGCTTGTTACACCACCGCCAAAACAGTACAGTATAACCAAATAAGGCGAACCGAATGCAAATTAGAAAACAAGAAAAAAATCTGACATTGCGTAACACTCCACTCTTGAATATAAAAAGTATCGATACGATACTTAAGCAAAAAAAAATCCCCTCGAGAACAATATTAGAACCACGCGTGGCAAGAAATGGAGAAAGGGACCTTGGGTGGGTAAAGAATATGATTCACGCACTAAACCCTCCCACGCATGGCAAAAAAAAAAAATCCCATCCGCCTATTTTTGGCAGACGGTGCGGTAATAAGTTCGCAGTTGTGTGGCCTCGAGAGGCAAGCTTCGCTTACGTGGAAGCGGCCTCACGCACTCACAGGGGGTGGGCAGCAGGGGAGGAGGAGGAGGGGAGCGTGGTGAGAGATAAGCGATCGGGGGGGCGTGGGCGTGTAATGGGTGGTGGGGCGGTGGTTGTGGTTTTACAACCCAAAACCACCCGGTCGCATTTGACCGAATCTCATTCTAGCAGCGGCGCGCGCACACACGCGGAGACGCAGCAGCAGCAGCAACAGCAGCAACAGCAGCAGTAGTAGTAATCTCGTGTACACTATAACTCTATCTGCCATCACACGTTTTTTTTGTTGGGTTATTCTCTTCTGTCTCTCTCTCCCCTTTTTTGGTAGGGGGGGGGCAAGGCTCACGTGAGAGAGAGAGGATTTAGACCCTGGCCCAGTGGGGACATTCTTCTTCCTATTGACGACTGCGTTGGGTGAGGTTTTTTTTTATTTTGGAGTGGGTGGGACGAACATTCCTGCGCTCATTGTGAAGCCTCACGCGTGTCGCGTCTACCTGCGGGTGCCCACCTGTCTGCTCCTCCGCGATGACGACTCACCGGCAGAGCCAGGTAAAGGTGTCTCGGCTCTGTGTGTGTTGCGTGTGTTGCGTGTGTTGTGTGTGTTGTGTCGTCTCAAGTGGAGCGGTGGCGCAGTGGTTTAGCGAGCTGCGCTACGTCCAGACCCCGAGTTGGATTCCCGCTCACGGCCACCAACACCAGGGACGATTATCTAAACCGGTACTGGGCCTCCCCTAAGTCGACTCGGCCTCAAATGAGTACGGTGCCTGGTTCGATTTGTAAATATCGCTGCTAGGGAGACAGGCGGGCCGGGCGTGGTGCTGGTCACCCATCCACCTCGTGTGTCGTGCCGGCCTTCATAGGTGCTCGTGAACAGCACTTGCCCCAAAATCATGTTCAGGCTATACGGGGGATCTTTGGCTCGGTGTATGTAACATGACTTGGATGGCGAGCGGTGGCGCAGTGGTTAGCGCACACTGACTGCGCTTATGAACCCGGCGATCCGAGTTCGATTCCTGCTCACGACCGATAACAGTGGCGAATATTTGAACCGATTCTGAACTTCTGCCCGGGTCGATTCAGTCTTAAATTATCACCTGATGTGACGTGGGGAGACAAAGGCGGCCGGGCGTGGCGTTGCCCCCCCCCTACCTCATCACTCGCGTGCCCGTTGGCAGCCTTCCCCTCGTAGCTTGCTCGCTTGAACACAGCACTTGCCCCAACAGTCTGCCGAAGCCTACACGGGGGGCCTTTGTCTTTTGTGAAATCACTTCAGGTGGGACGAGACGAGGTGCATTTCTCAGTCAATGCTGGCTGCTGAAAGTTTCCTGGGTGGTAGGGTTATCTTGATCGCTGAATAAATGGTCGAGGGTGGTGGTGGTGGTGTCTGCGATGGTGCGGTGATAATACCGAGGGGATGCATTGTTCCACTCGCAGGTGTGTCCCCCCCCCCCCCCGGGGTTGCGAGTGATTTCTCCCCACGATGGAGCCTCCTCCCAGCGTAACGCGATGCGCGCATTGCGTTTACCGCGTTCGCATACTTGGCATACTTCGCTGGTAATTTGTTGATACTGCCAGCGTGGAAGCTGTAAAGTTCGTGTAGTTTTTTTTTTATATTCTGTGCCTGGGTCTTCTTGTTTTGTGTTTGTGTACGGATATACGTGATGCGTGTATTCATAAAACCTAAACAACGCGTGCTGTAATACAACACACATTTCTGTATTGCGTTTATGTATACGTGTTACATACACACACACACATGAATGCATGCACATACTTTGTATTCGCACATTCCAACTGCGTATTTCTTCATACATACAGATTGGCACATACGTTACACGTGCATGCCAACTTGCTTTCATGCTCTTCCACACACAAGGGTCAGCATAGCTGCCATCCCATACCGTTTACACCCCGTGTCTTGTACAGGGAAATTGAGTGTTTGAGATCCATACGACGCGTACAGCCGTTTCAATGCGGACACCAACAAAACAAAAATGTGTCTATTGTTTGTGTTTCTCCCTTGCGATGAGACTTTGTAGGATGAACGTTGGGATTTCTAGGGGGCACGTGGTGACCAATAAGGTGTGAATTTATCTGTAATAAGGTCGGGCTCTGATGAGGGTTTGACAGGTATGGGGTTAGTACAGATGTGTACGTACATGCATACACACTGCATATACATTAACACTAAATATACCGTCACACGTGATTACACACAAGCTTACTCTTTGGTTCTTTCGGTAAAGTCACGTAGGTGAAAATGTAAAAAAATACAAAAAATTTAATAAAAATATAATAACAAAATTTAGTTATTTTAATTTTTATTATTATTTTATTTTATTATTACTTTTTCACCTACGTGACTTTACCGACAGAACCAAAGAGTATGGATCCTTGCAGTCACGAACACTTCAGATCTACAATGACACACAAGCTCTACACAAACCGATGTGGACCTGTGGGTGCAGTGAATCAGCGCACTGCGCCGTGAGCGCACGCTGAGTGAGTGGGTGAGTTCACGTCAACGGCAAAGTGAAATCCGAACCCGTGCTGGGACCATCCCTTCTCCACCAACCCGTACTGACCAAATAGGTGAAGTATAGTCAAACAAGCCCGTAGGGGATGGCTCCACCCAGCAGTGGATTGACAAAGGGGTCGTCCATAAATGACGTCACGCACCTGGGGGGGGGGGGGTCAGACATTTGTGACTGTGTGACGAAGGAGGGGGGTTGAGAAATGTGACGTCACGTAAAAATGCGCAACTTTAAATAAATATAGACAACACGTTCTACTTAATTAAATTGACTTTTTAATAAATGTTTCTCCTACAACATCAGAGTGCAGCGCCACATGAAATACGCACTACAATGACAATAGTTGAAAGCGATTTGAAGCATGTTTTTGGGGGGGGGGGGCAGAGCTTTGTGACGCCGTGTGACGAGGGGGAGGGGGTCAAAAATCGTCCAAAATCGCGTGACGTCATTTATGGACGGCCCCAAAGGCCCGTACATTATTCATTCATTTAATATGCACACCAGCCACGTGGCGCAGTGGTTACGATGCTCGACTCGTACTCAGAATGTCACGGGTTTAAATTCTGGATTGTGGATTTACACGGTCGATAATTTCTGTTGAAACAATCAAATGTGTACCACGTTGTGGAGAGTCAACAGTGATTTTCCTCTTGAGAGGCTGGTCTCTTGCCATGGAATGTGGAATTTCCACCACCGGCTCAGTCGCTAATGGAAATATTGGCTCATTGGAGTAGGAAGACAACACTTTGATGACTCTACGGACTTTAAACAAACACGGGCGGTCGTCAGTAATTCCAATGACACCACTAAACCGTGGCAATGATTAATAACTTCACGGAACGGAATTTATTGAAATACACTCATTTTTGAATTTGGTAGCAGGAGGAAAAATGTATTGGCCAATATTGACCATTTGTATCTTCAATGTGAATGGACAGTATGTGTGTTGAACTTCTTTCGCATCGTACGTAACCAACCGCGCCCATCGGAGGGTGGTGGCACAGTGCACATCTCAGATTTAAAAACAAATTCCCTGGTTTTGGTTTCCCGACTCGTGTGCCTTGTGTATGTGTGTGTGGAGTTTACAAGTTGCCCCCCCTGTTCTGCGTGGGTTTCCTCCCATAGGAAACGAAAAACCCCCATACAATGTAACTGGTATTGGTCCAAACATCCCAGTGCTGCAAAATAATATTTTTAGGGGGATTACACACAACAGCAACATCGCCCCCTACTGCGAAAACTTAGCAGGACCTTCCTTAAAAAGAGTTAGGGGCACAGTGCGGCTTTCCTGGCAAAAAAAAAAATCGTAATAATAACAATAATGAATTGAGACTGTGAACACACGCACACACTATAGATGTCAGCACTGCGCAGCATGGCTGTCACCACTGACTAACCGTTTCCAAGCAACCAAGTGAGATTTTTTTGTTCATAGCTGGTATAACCGCACAAACCCAGACAGCCACCGTACACTTATATATTACATCCGTCTCACAGGATATGACTGATGGGGGTATTACTAGAATTTATTCAATGCAAAACACACGGTACAACCAGAAAAAAATACGTCAGAGAGCTTACACAGCAGGACTGCAAGAGAAGTTGAGAGAATCATGCATCCATACGTTAACGGCACACACGCTTGTAAGTAAAATATACCAAATGAGACGTATTCACAAGTGTGGCTAACCCCGTGTGATCCCAGACTCGCCATGCATGCTCCAGTATTTGCTCATGGCAACAGAGATGCATACGTAATTAGTGTAGAGATTGTGTACTTTTTCATTGCTGTTGAAAATTCATTTCTCTGAGCCGAGGCGCGCTGGACGATCTTTCTCGCGTGACAATCGGCAGAATTTTCGACGCGCTTTGTTTTGCTTGTTTTATATTTTCTAAATCGATATTGCCCAAGGTGGGAAAATCTCCCTCCAGAAAGTGCTCCTGTACTGTCTGAAGTGCAGTGCTACTGCAGAGGACACGTGATTTGCGTGCTGTGTGTCATGGAGCCAAACCATCACATGCTGGGTGAAAGGGGTACGAGGCAGGCCCTTTGCCAGTGGACCTTCTAGGAACATGGTGCAGTGAATCCTCTAACCGCCTCCCTGTCTCCCATCAACTCACTTGGACTTTCTTCGGTGCCACAGTTGTACGGAGATCCTGGCTCGTGTGGGCTGGTAGGGGGAGAACATTCTTGCAAGGACGTCTTCTGGGCTTAGTCGATCCTGAGGGTAATGATCACCACAGATGGCCTCCCTGTTCAGGAAGAATTATGGTCCAAGGCCAGGGCCAGCACAGTCAGTTGAGATTCTCTAACCACAAATTGGTTGGAACTCAAGAAAGTTAGTCTAGTACTGCGCACTCCCGAACCGGTTTCTATGAAGGTGACTCGTGATGGCGAGATTGTCCAAGGTGACGGCGGTGGCTGAAATCGGCAGACAAGGCTCCCCTCATCTCCCCCATCTCACCAGCTTCTTCCAGACTGAGCAGAGTCTACTGTGAGCAGCCTGTGACAGCAAGGCACATTGCAGGAACCCTCAGTAGCAGTGCAGGCTTGGTACGCAGGCAATGACTCAACCCTCACATGGGTGGGACGCGGTTGGTTTTGGGTTCCAATGCTGGTCTCTCATGAGTTTCTCTCGCTTCAGTGTTAGTGCGGTGGCATGGATGCCCAAGCTGTAGCGCGTGTTTGTCGCTTGTCTCAGGGACAAGCAGCTTCCCTGGCTAATACGGTGCACGTATTAGCCGTCTGCAGGCCATTTCTGCGTTCACCGCAACATGTGCAGCTGCTAGCAGGGGAGTCCCCCCCCCCCCACCCCCGACGCAAGACACCTCCAGATGCACTGCATGGGAGGCGTGGTATCAATATTGAATCGTGATGATGATGCTGAGAGTTATTCTGGTGGCTCTCGTGAATCGGGAGGGTGGCGAGTGTGCACGGTGAATCTTGGATCACATGGGGTCAGTCACAGTGAGCGGTAGGTCTCATCCGGTGTACGTGTGTACCTTATGGGTGTT